TTTCATGGGAAGAACCGTTGAGGTCCTGGCTTTGCACGGAGGTAAGAGCGGGGAATGGAGGCAGGAGTGAAGTCTCAGGAAAAGAGGTGGCTGCAGTAGCAGAGCCCTCTGGCTGTGTGTGTCTGAGGCTTAGCAGCCGGAGCCGTGGATAGTTTGCTGAGCCCATTAGTGCACCCAGCAGAGACACGCTGCTGCCCTACTACCGGCATCCTCCCAACATGCCTCTGTTCATCAGGAACGTAGCCAACAACATCAGGTCTGAAGATTTAATAGTGTGAGTTTGATCATTACGATCCTATAGATGATGTGTATGTTCTACTTGATTACTATACTCACCGTCCAAGAGGATTTGTTTATGTTCAAGAATGTTTGTGATGCTGAAGACGCTTTACGTAATTTGGACAGAAAGTAGATTTGTGGGCGGCAGACTGCAATACAGTTTGCCCAGGAGGACGGGAAGACACCAAATCAGATGAAAGTCGAGGAAGGGAGGAATAGGTACAGTTCTTCATGCTATGATGATTATGACAGATACAGAAGTTCTAGAAGCCTAAATTATGAAAGAAGGACGTCAAGAAGTCAGTCTTTTTATTACAACTACAGAAGATCATATAATCCTAGAAATAGACCAGCTGGAAGACCACAGCAGAGCAGAAGCCATTCCAACAACGCCAGACCGAACTGCAGCTGAAATACCTAGTACAGTTCTGCTTACTATAAGAAAGATATGAAAGCAGATAAAGAACCAAAGAAGAGCAGTTCAAGTGACCAAAGGGTGGGTGGAAGGTGCTGCAGCATGAATACTGTACAAATATTTTGACTCTGGTCTGAAAAGATAAAAGAATGTTATGGAAAACTACATGGAATAATTGAAGTCCCTTTAAGCTTGAAAGCAAACATTTTAGGACAAAAGAAAGGAAATTCAACTTTATACTTGTAGAAACTCATCCCTAAATATGAATAGGTTTATACTGATTCACGGGTAACAGGTCCATAATAAATTATTGGAAACTAGGATGTCTGAATATCAAGGAAGACAGCCATAGTCTCTTACAGTGCCTCTGTTGGTCTGTCTCAAACTCAATTGGGTGGGAAAAGGTATGGTCCAATATAAAAGTTCCACTTCGCCATGACTAGCAAATTTTGCCTTTCTTTATTTTGGTTCCAGTGTTTTGTGCTTAACCATTTGCTTTGTTGGCAACTGTGTTTATTTACTTGTACAACACATGCAGTTTACATTTTCCTCAACTACATTCCTTCCCAAGTAAATTCCAATTATATTTGACATCCAGCTAAGAGGGCCCATCTCTTCTCACCTCTATCCTAGTCAGTATGTTCAGCAAATATTTACTGAGCCCTTACTGTGGGCAAAACATTGTACTGGATAATTGAGGAGAAAAATAGATTAAATCCCTTATTCAATAAATGTCTACTGAGCAAAATCTAATAAATCATTATAGTATGACCTCGTTGTTCTGTTTGAGGTGTATTATTCATAACTATTTTATAGCATTCATATCTTAATGTAATTATAGAACCCAATATACTACCAAAGATAGTAATTGTGTGGTTATCTGCCATTTAAAAGTATCCAGTACTTGTTTGATCCCATTATTACAAATAATGAAAAAAAATGCTTTGTTTTAATCTGTAATAAGCGGTTTATTGTGCCATAACTGTCATATACTAGAGTTATATTAAAATGTTTACTCTGCCTCACCAAACGCATACTAGGAAGTAATCCCCAAAATAAGTATTTAACTTTGCATTAGATATAAAGGAGACTGGGTACTATAATTAGATTATTTTGAGGCTGACAGCTATTATCCAGCTGATTTAGTATGTTCTGTAACTGAAAAAATGTTCACCAAATTTTACTTTTTAGTGATTTACATGTACATTTTATAGGGGACAAGTTCTGTATATAGTGAATAAATAACTTTTACAGTTTTTTAAAAAAGCCAGCGTGGGAAACATAGTGAGACCTCATCTAAACAAATATAAAAATTTTTTAAATTAGCCAGGGGCCAGGCACAGTGGCTCACTCTCTAATGGGCTGTTATTCTAGTACAGTTAGAGCAACATAAAAAAAAAATCAACAGACAACATGTTGGGTAGCAGTAATTCTAAGAAGAAAATAAAGAAGGATGATGTGATAGTCATGGGAGAGGAGGCGCTACTTTAGTCAGGGAAGGTCTCTCTGATAAAACAAAACATGAGACTTCTGAGGAAAAAATGATTACAAAGAGAAGAAAGCAAGTACAAAGTCACTGAGATAGAAGAATACCTTACGTATTAAAGAAATAGCGAAGCTCATGTGACCTAGAGAAAAGTGAGCAGGAGTGGTAAAACATTACGTAAAAGAAAGTGAAAGCAAAGATTTTGCAGGGTTTTACAGGCCATGGTAAAGGTTTGGGGTATTGCTCTTAATAAGATAAAAAATTACTGAGCACATGAGTGACATGTTTTAATTTACTCAAGTTGTCCCTCAGTATCTGTGGGGGACTGGTTTCAGGACTCTCTCTCAAAACCTGTGGATGTGAGAGTCCCTATTTAAATAGCAGAGTACTTACACTAATCTACACACATCCTCCTTATACTTTAAATCATCTCTAGATTATTAATAATACCTAATACAGTGTAAATACTATACATAAAGAGTTGTTACACTGTATTTTTTATTTGCATTATTTTTATTGCTGCATTGCTATTTTTTATTGGATTTTTTTCCAAATATTTTTTATTTGCAATTGGTTGAATTCAAGGATGCAAAACCCAAGGGTATAGAAGGCCAACTGTAATAATTTTGTCTGCTCTGTGAAGAATAAAGAATAGATTCAAAGGGATAATCAAAGGAGCAGCAAGACCACTTAGGAAGCTCCTGCAATCATCCAGGAGGTTAGTACAAGTAAAAATAATGAAAAGTATCAAATTCTGGGTATCTTCCTTTTTGTATCGTTTCAGCATCTATACACATTAAAAAATTCTTCCAAAATGCTAGTAACTTTTAAAAATATTGTTACAGAAATAAAAGTCTTTGGGAAAGGTTTTAAAAACACATAGCAACTGGAAGACTAAACTTTAAGAGATGGCTAAACAAATCTGTGAGACATAGTGGCTATTAAGTGGGAAGACTCTAAAGTTTTTACTTCTTTTTTTTTTTTTAGATGGAGTCTTGCCCTGGTGCCCAGGTTAGAGTGCAATGGTGTGATCTCGACTCACTGCAACTTCCGCCTACCGAGTTCAAACAATTCTTCTACCTCAGCCTCCCAAGTAGCTGGGATTACTGGCACACGCCACTATGCCTGGCTAATTTTTTTTATACCTTTAGTAGAGACAAGGTTTCAACATGTTGGCCATGCTGGTCTCAAACTCCTGACCTTGTGATCCACCCACCCCAGCCTCCCAAAGAGCTGGAATTACAGGTGTGAGCCACTGAGTCTGGCCAGTTAAAAACTTGTTTTGATTCTAGCTCAACGACTTACTAGACATGAAAATTACAGCAGCATTTTTCTATGCCTCAATTTTCCCACTTCTCAAATGGGAATAATGATAGCTACCTTACAGTATTCCTGTGATTATATGAAAATGAATATAAAGAAATTAACTGACATATGGTAACAACTCAACATGGCCATAGGTTCCCAGGATTACTTTTTCTCATTATTACTATTATTTGTAATATCCCTTTTAGAACTGGTTACATATTCATTTTTAAATTATCACAATAAAAATAAACTGTAAGTGTTCCTAAAATATATTTGATGTTATGTATTTATATATATATTTGTTATATATTTGATGACATGGTTTTTAATAGAAAACAGTTTCTGCTTTAGATATAAAAAAGCACTATAATTTGTATTACAGATTTTTTTAACTTGATGGATCAGTCCTCTTAAGGATAATGAATTTGGATTTGCAAGAATTCAAAGCAATTCCTAGTAACATTTTTTCTTCACTTCAAAATTATAAAATTTAAAGATCTCATAAAATCAACAAAGAGTATGAGAAGAATAATTAAATATAAGCCATGATTATTCAGACTTTTTGTTTAGTTTTATTTGGTCACATTCATGATTTTACCATGTGTGTACCAGTTAGGTTCACAAGAGAAACTCTTTAGGGCCAAATATTTAATTCCCTTTCATATTAGCAATGTTAATATTAAAGATATACAAGACAGGCCGTGCGTGGTGGCTCACGCCTGTAATTTCAGCATGTTGGGAGGCTGAGGTGGGCAGATCACTTGAGGTCAAGAGTTCAAGACTAGCCTGGCCAACATGGTGAAACTCCATCTCCACTAAAAACACAAATAGCCAGACGTGGTAGTGTGGGTCTGTAATTTCAGCTACTCGGGGGGCTGAGGCAGGAGAATCGCTTGAACCCAGGAAGCGGAAGTTGCAGTGAGCCAAGATCATGCCACTGTATTCCAGTCTGGGTGACAGTACAAGATTACGTTTCAAAAAAAAAAGATACATAAGACAATGACAGACAATAATTGCTTCTGGGAGAAGATAAGGGGAGACAAAAAAGAAAGAAGAGACATACTTTGCACTTAAAACCTCTGGCATGGCCAGGCGCAGTGGCTTATGCCTGTAATCCCAGCACTCTGGGAGACCAAGGCAGGTGGATCACCTGAGGTCAGGAGTTCAAGACCAGCCTAGCCAACATGGTGAAACCCCATCTCTACAAAAAATACAAAAATTACCTGGGCATGATGGCTGGTGCCTGTACTCCCAGCTATTCAGGAGGCTGAGGCAGGGAATTGCTTGAACCCAGGAGGCAAAGGTTACAGTGAGCCAAGATCATGCCACTGTACTTCAGCCTGGGAGACAGAGTAAGACTCTGCCTCAAAAAACAACAACAACAACAAAAAACAACCTTTGGCATTAACTTTTCAAGGACATAAAACATTGTTTAAAGAAAAAAATTTATTTCACTAACAATTATGACTCAATTGTTTAAATGTCCCATAGATCACCATAATGGCAGCTTACCAGATTGAAGATGCCAGTAATATGTTAGTGTTGTTTGCAAGAAACTTCAACGGAGGCTCTGCAAGCAGTAGACAGGATAAAATTCCTCCACCAAAGCAGTGGAGCATAGCAGTAAACCAGCTTGAAATAGGATTCTTCCATGCCAATGCAACTGCTCCTGAAATGGTAAAGTAAAATACAGTCTGAGATCATTATATATTTATTAAACAAGCACCAAAGAAATAAACTTCTTAATTTATAATTTTCAATAACTATTATTCATAGATGTGCCAATCACAATCATTAAAAACCTTATATTTTATTCTTTAAAGCACGACTGGAAACATTTTGCTACTGCGTGATTTTTGGCACTTTGCCTCCTTTAAAATACTCTTCTGTTCAGGCTGTCATTGCCAGTTTCCTAATAATAGATCATTATAAACAATATTCTCACTTACTGTCTCCTTTCATCCCAAACCCTATAGTAAGTACTCCCAGACCATATGCCAAAGTGATTTGTTAAGAAAAATTTATAATCTTAAGTATATTATAAAGAAGCTGAAATAAATAAACTAAGCTTTCAACAAGACAGGTCAGAAACAGAGTAACAAAATAAACCCAAAGGTGAAAGATTTCTTAGGAACAGATATTTATACTTTCTCAACATGAGTCCTAACTAATTACTTATTAATTATAAAGGGAAATCATAACTTCAAAGCCGGGAAACCTTGCAGACATCAGTGTGCAGACAGGCACATGCCATCACACCCCGTTAATTTTTGTATTTTTGGTAGAGATGGGGTTTCACTATGTTGGCCAGGCTGGTCTGGATCTCCTGACCTTATGATCTGCCTGCCTCGGCATCCCAAAGTGCTGGGATTACAGGCATGAGCCACCACACCCAGCCACTTCTCTGGTATTTCTAACAAAAATACACAACCTGAACTAATCAAATCAGACAAGCCCAAACTGAGGGCTACTTGGAGAAAACAAACATCAACAACTGGCCTACGTTTTTTAAATGCTGAAGTCAAAAAACACACCAAAAAAGACCGATAAAACATTCTAGATTATATGAAAATTTTCTCTAACTCAAATTATATTTATTTATTTACTTATTTTTTTTTTTTTTTTTGAGACTGGGTCTTGCTCTGTTGCCCAGGCTGGAGTGCAGTGACGTGCTCTCAGCTCACCATAACCCCAGCATCTGAGTTCAAGCGAGTCTCGTGCCTCAGCCTCCCAAGTAGCTAGGATTACAGGCATGTGCCAACACACCAGGCTAATTTTTATGTTTTTAGTAGAGACAGGGTTTCACCATGTTAGCCAGGCCCAGGAGACAGAGAAAAGAAAAAAAAAAAAAAAACTTAACACTATTAGCCCAAACTGAAACTATAGCCAACCACATGGTAGGGTTCAGGAGCATGTTCACATGAGACAAATGGAGGTAAACAAACAAAAAAAAGTAATCTGACTTATTGTATTACCTAATGTCTTTCATGTCTTTGCTTATGGAGCAAAAGTTACATAGAATGGTGGAGTATTATCTTTCCTGGGATTTAAAGCCTAAAACCTGAACCAAACAAAAATGGGATATAGTCCTTCACACCTTAGGTAGAAAAAGAGTTAATCCCCTTTATCCTTTTGCCTCCAGTGGCTTTTTTTCCCGGGGGGTGGGGGCAGTCTCTTCCTGTCACCCAGGCTGAAGTGCAATGATGTAACCTCAATTCACTGCAACCTCCTCCTCCCGTGTTCAAATGATTCTCCTGCCTCAGCCTCCCAAGCAGCTGGGATTACAGGCACCTGCCTCCATGCCCAGCTAATTTTTGTATTTTTAGTAGAGACAGGGTTTCACCATGTTGGCCAGCCTGGTCTCAAGCTCCTGACCTCGTGATCCACAAGCCTCAGACTCCCAAAGTTCTGGGATTACAGGTTTGAGCCTCCAGTGGCATTTTTTAATGATCTAGGCAGATAGTACAAATGATCAGATATAAATGGGGTAGGAAAGTAGACAGTAAGGTATTAGAAGTGGTAGAGTACATACCAAAACAAAGTCTCAAGGAGTAACATGTCTGAGAGGGTAAAGATGTGAAGAACTCTGGTAGTAGTATATATATGAATTATAGTTCACTGTAGGTATGAGTTCTAGAGAATCAATCACTGGAGGATAGGAAAAAGTTGCTAATTAAGTAAAGCATACATATGCTAAGTAAAAATCTAAAATAAATAGTATTGGAATAGGAGAAGTATACACATATTAGCTCTTCAGTTTCAAATATGAAAAAGGAATGCTGACCACATAAATAGAGAGTAATACAAGCTACTCACTGCAACTACTGACAGAACCTGAACAAATGTATCTTAATCAAAATGAGTTAGAAGAAAAAAAGACATATATGGGCTGTAAAAAAAAAAATTACCATAGAAAAATAAAGTGATTAAGATCCAGAAGATTCAAGTGAAATAGATAACATTTAAGAATTAACTACTGAAGAATACAGAGCAATTTTCTACAATTTAATGTAAACATTTACTCCAATAGACTTGGAAATCCAAATATCTATTCCTGAAAGAAATATAAATTACCAAAATGACTTAAGTCTGGATTGGAAAAAAAAGTAAGATGTACCCATTAGAATACACCAAGAAACACAAAACTACATAGTTAGAGTCTACAAATATCAAAGAACAGCAATATCCATTATACAAACCATCCCAAGCTCAAAAATGGAAAGCTTCCCAATCTATTTTACAATAACAGCATAACCTTGAGCCCAAACTGGAAAAGGATAACACAACAAAATGACCAAATAAGCTCATTTCTATTGTAAACATAAATGCAAAAATTTTACATGAAGTATTACCAAATCAAAATGCCTAATGAATTAAAATAATGTATCAAGCAATTTAGTCCAAAAATATAAGGATGATTCATTATTTTTTTAAATGTATTAATGTAATTCACTATGTTACATTTTTAAATGGGAAACAAAATATGATCTCAATAGATTTTGAAAAAAAATAGCACTTGATAAAATATGTAACCTTCTCCACCAGGACAGTATAAAGATATAAGAATATCCAGCCAGGCACGGTGGCTCACCCCTGTAATCCCAGCACTTTGGGAGGCCAAGGTAGATGAATCATGAGGTCAGGAGTTCAAGACCAGCCTGGCCAACATGGTAAAACCCAATCTCTACTAAAAATACTAAAAATTAGCCGTGAGTGGTGGTAGGCGCCTGTAATCCCAGCTACTCGGGAGGCTGAGGCAGGAGAATTGCTGGAATTCAGGAGGCAGAGGTTGCAATGAGTCAGAATTGTGCCAGTGCACTCCGGCCTGGGTGACAGAGCAACTTGTTCTCAGGAAAAAAAAAAAAATAAGATACAAGAATATCCTAGAACGCTGGGAATAAAATAAAACTTCCTTAAAGTGTCCCTCAAAAAAACCCTATAGCAAACATCACACTTGAAAAACTTTAAAAGCATTCTCATTAAAATCAGGAATATCAGGAGTAAGACAAAGTCACTATCATTAGCATTCAACAAAACATTCTTTAATATAAAGAAGCTAGAAAAAGAAATGGAGGGTCTTGGCTACAAGCCACAAAAAGCAACAAACTTAAACCATAAAGAATTCATTGGAAGGATTTCAGTAGCTCACAGGAAAAAAAAAAATCACAGGCTAAAGAAAACAAACAAGGACTAAGGGCACTCCAGAGGTCTATGTAGGAGGGATGATCTTACTAAAAGGCTTAGATCAGAACCAGTTCAGTAAGTACAGAGAATACTCTGTTGAGATCATTGAGTTCCAACTGTTCTATCTAGCCATGATCAGACTTGCGAAGGAACATCTGTATCACACAAAAATACTGCAGAAACATTAAGAACCTATACTTTTTTAGAACTATAGAATTGTTTTAGAAATGATCAAGGATGAGTATTTTTATAATCTTAGGCCTGAGAAAGACCATCTTAAAATACATAAATCGCAATAGTGATATAGGGAAAAAAAATTAACAGATTTTTTATGAAAGAGTAAAAATTATGAAATTGTTTAAACTTCTGCAATAAGACTATATAAACAAAGTTAAAATATAGCAAGAGTTATGGAAAAAAAGGACTACAGACATAAATAGAATTAATATACATGATTCACAAAGACAGTCAAGAGAAGACAACAACCCACAACCCAATAGGAAAAGGGACAAAAAAAATTAAGTGCTTTACAGGAAATATAAATGGCCAATAACAGTCACAAACTCATCAGTACCATGACAAACATAAATGAAATACTGTGTTCTGATCATCAGAATGACTTGGTATTGAAGACCGATAACAGAACTGTCAAAGGAAATGGGCAGTCTAACACAATTCAGGTAAAAGGTTAAACAGGTACACTCAACACTCTTGTGTGTGAATTCTATCATTTTTACCTCTTGACAAGTACTGGTACTGTATGACACTGTATTCATATTCAATAATCATGTGGTTCTCAAAGTCTGGAATCTCAGGAGCCCTCTACATCCCTAAAAATTAGTAAACAGATTAATGGTTGCCAAGGAGGATAGCTTACTACAAAAGTGCAGGAAGGAATTTGGGGGTGGGTGAGGAAACTGTTCTATATCTTGATACTAATGGTGGTTAAATGACTGTATGTGTCTGTCCCAAAACACAGAAGTTTGTATTAAAAATGATTAACAGACTGTATGTAAATTACATCTTTTAAAAAAGCCTGACGTGGAAAAAGAAGATGGCACGGTAGGAGCAACTCAGGATTGCAGTTCTCAGTGAAGATGCAGAGGGTGAGTGCAATCCGCATTTCCAGACGGATCTTTGTTGCCCACAGAATGGGGAAATTCCCAGGTGTAGGAGAGACATGGGATGCTAGCACAGTTGCTTCAGCTGGCACAGCCATTTCGGCCGGCGCCGCAGCGCACCGCACTCCACACAAAACGCACTGGTCTGGGTGCCCTGTTAAACTGGCAATCTGAGATTTGGGAGGGCAGATTAGCATATCCATCTGATTAAACAGGACTTGGACAGTGAGCCAGACCAGGAGATTCCCGGAAAGCGACGTTTGAGCCAGCGCGGTGGGTCACTACACGGGAAATCACAAAGATCCCGGTGCCCTACTGGCAGACGACTGAAACACCTGGGAGAGAGTCAACCATTTAACTTAAA